TTGTGGAGTTGGGGTTCAACCTTTTGGAAGAATAATAATATCATATCATTATCCCATTCACACATTATAAAAATATTTGTATACATTCTAGAGTAAATAATAAGTTTGGGTAAACATAAATATTTACCTCAAGCCAAACTTCTAATCAACTAACATAAATAGCATACTAACCACCTAGATAAGGAACCTGTGAATCAATCAATATAATCAAATCCAATTTTTATTACTAATATTAAATATTATTATTGTAATAATCAGCATCATCATTATCCTCTAATCATTACACTTATCATAAACAAAATCATTATCAACAGGATTCATCATCATCATCATCTCGCCATTTCCATCATCAAATTCAAATCTCATCAACGCCACTATAATCCTAATCCAAAAATCATCCTATCATTTTTCCGCATCACATATCCATTATCATCCTCAATTATTATAATATTATTATTACTCCATTATTAAAAACTTACCATCATCATCACCTTCATCAAATATACACGATGTTGCTCAACTGACCGTCACTGCCCTCGCCGGAACTTCGCCATCACTATCAACAAAGTTCACTTTCGTCGGTCACTAACCCACTCACTAGATAGGGAGGAGAAAGAGAATGTGAGAGAGAGACGGAAAACCAGAGAGAAGATGGAACTGGTTTGTGTGAATGGATGAAGAGGATGAATGTAGATGATACTTGGCAGAGATACATTATATACAATTATTATTATATGGTTAGTGCACATGTGCTGTGCGGTGAAGATAAGGAAATTACCTAGTAGACTACGGCTGTATAGTGTAATATTACAATAATAATATAACCATCATTAAATATTTTTCTATTTCTCGATAACCACAGAATCAGCCCTGTCTCTCGATCTCTAAAAATTTTATGGTGAAAGATAATGTGAGAAATCCTATGTAATTGTAATATAAATATTCTTGAATTGATTATAGGAATTATTGAGAGGTTCTTATAATAAATAGTTTTTAATTAAGTTATTATTAGTAGTCATGTTTAAAACTTTCAGAACTCATTACTATATATAAATTAATTAGTACATGTTGATGCACCCTAGAATCAAAGTAATATTATTAGAGTGATAATGCTCACAATAAAGTCCCTAGAAATTTATTAACTTGCTTCAAAAGAAAGGTGATTAAGGGAGAATAGAAAAGATGCATGTTTTTTCTTCAGGAGATCTAGCTTGAGTCTCGATACGCTGTTAAGTTAGTGATTTTGTAGCTGTGCACCAAGATTCTAATTCCTTATCTTACATGTAATTTATGCACAACATTTGAATTGAAAAAAAAAAAAAAAAAAAAAAAAAAAAAAAAAAAAAAAAAAAAAGTAATTTTGATTGATTTTTTTTCTTGGTTAGCTATAAATTAAGGGGGGTGTTTTTTAATTTATAATTTGTTCATGAAAACTGATGAAACAAATTAGAAGATGATGGTAGGCTGACAGTCTGACACATTATTTTTTTCATAACCCTAATGTTTTTTTCTGCATAATGATGAGTTGCAATTACCCACTATGTAATAAAAAATTTAAGGTCATGATCACTACTTACATGCGTGGCTAAGAACAACCCTCAATGTGCCCATCCAGTAAGCAGTGCTGGTCTTGGCGGAACTATAACTTTATTTTTTCTTTTTCCTTTCTCTGGTGGGACTCACTAGTACGTGTAGGAGAATACAATAGAAGGAAGGGTCTAAACTCTGATCTAAACTTGACAAACCACCTTGGTGAACTTTCTTGTGATTTCCTTTATTCTGATGTTGTTGAAGAGGAGTTAAGTTGATTTGTGAAGAGTATTTTTTGTTCCAAGAAATTATATTAGGTTCATGAAATAAATCTCTAGTGTTCTCATTGAGTTTATTAATTATTTATCATATGTTAGTGTGTTTTTTCCTTCCCACATTAACCTCGTTGCCAAATTTATATATTTTTCATGTCCTTGAAACTTCATTGTATATTTGTACAAGTAAGTGTCCCGTGCGATGAACGGTCTATTATTAATTTAACAATTAAGCAAATTATACTTTTGGTCCTATGACTATAGGGGCGTGTTAATTTCGCTCCATGACTTTTAAAACTAACAATTTAGTCATTTAACTATGCTTTTTTTAGCAGATTTTTTGTCCTTCCGGCCAAATCACCCGTGGAAATTGGCCGGAAAAAACTTAAACCTTTTTAATTTTTTATTCATGACTGATGAGGGCAAAATTGTCTTTTTAGGTAAGTTGTTTCTTCTTCTTCGTGTTCATGAACTACGACTAACAGTTGCCTCTACTTCCCAGAAAGAACAGCTCCAAGAATCGAAGTCCCAAGTTCAGAAGTAAGGTATAATTTTTATCCTCAACTTTTTCTTCATGTCTACTGTGCATTTCTTGATTCATCTTCCCCAGATCGCACGGTATAAAGCTCTATAAAAGATCTAAACTCCCAGAAATATCTTTCTCCCTATTCTAGCCACAACCATCCTCCCAATTCCAGTCACGACCAAAACATAATTGTAGTATTGGTTGTGGTCTTGTGGATGATGGTTTATTTATGAGTAAATCCCAGTGAACGTCCTCCGACTTTGGTGGCACTGCCATTTTTAGTCCTCAACTTTTAAATCAACCACTTCCAGTCCTCTTACTTTTTGTTTCTAACCATCTATGGTCCTTCCGTTACACTTGACCATCTAGTGCCGTTTTCTCAAGGACAATTCTGTCCTTTCATATTTAATGTATTAAGTTTTTTTTTAAAAGAAATTTCGCGCCTTGTTGTTTTTAAAAGAAATTTCTCAAGGACAATTCTGTCCTTTCATATTTAAAAAAAAAAAAAAAAAAAAAAACAACAACAACAACGTGCTTATACTGTATTACACTTAAGGTAAATGTGCTGTTTGTGGAGATGAAAGAGAAGATATAGTTTCATTGTTTAGGTAAATGTTCTATGCTTCTGTTGGACTTAGAATAGTTTTGGGATTCACATAATTCATTTGTGAGTTGTATTATCTAAGGTAGCAGAATTGGTTTCTAGAGTAGCAATGACTCATTTATCCTATCACCTGAGAGGGCATTTATTAACAGAGAAATTCTTGATTTTCTAGAAAAATGAAAACAGAAAATGCTTTACTTGTATATTCCTCCATTTTTAAAGCTGGAGAATGGAATGTATTGCCCCTTTTCCAGTGGCTACATGTGCAAGTAAACCTACCATTTTCCAGTAGCTACATGTGCAAGTAAACCTACCCAAATCAACTTCATGTTGCTCCAAAACCTGCCTAGGTCCCCAGTAGCATAGCTAACAGAAATCAGCCATATATACACCCCCACACATCAGTGCAATCCCATATATACATAATACATACACATACAAACCTCTAACACCTAACTCCATATAAACATATTAAACAGCAATTGTTTTCCCTAGAACCCATTTCCCTTGAACCCTTGAACAGTTGAACATAGAATCAATTGTGTTCCCTTAACTCATTTTCTGTGCGTAAAATAAACTGACAAAAAATGATATATTGTACTTACCATTACAATTGCGCTCCCTTGAACCCATTTGCAGACTCCAATCGAACCAAATTCTTCACAAAATTTGCAAGCTTTTGATTCCTTATGTTTTTTTTTTTTTTTTTGATTCCTTAGGGCTTAATTTCAATGGGTTTTGTGGAAGTATACGAATGAAGGCATGGGTTTGTTCTGATAGGAAACATACTTCGTAATACTCTGTACTTAATACATTAATTATGAAAGGACCGAATTTCTCTTGAGAAAACGGTACTAGATGGCCAAGTGTAACGGAAGGATCATAATTAATGTAAGAGGACTGGAAGTGGTTAATTTAAAAGTTGAGGACTAAAAGTGGCAGTGCCATAAAAGCCGGAGGACATTCGCTGATATTTACTCGTTTATTTATAGTGTTGAAGCAGGTATAGATGTTCATGTAAATATTGATTCTGAATTTTAAATTTTTATCTCCAATCAATTAGTGTTAGAAACATAACGTAATTATTGCAATGTTAATTCTCAATTATGGATCAACAATTATTATTCAAATTAATTTTGTGAATTACTCTCATGTCCACTAAAATATTTTTGCTTATTATTTATTCACTTTGATTTTCTTTTCATCATTTAGTTTATTTATGATAATTATGATTAGAGAAAAATTTTCCCTAATCATTTTGCTTTCATCATTTAGTTTATTTATGATAATTAAAATTAGAGAAAATTTTTCCCTAATCATTTTGCTTTAATATATATAGAGATAGAGATTTTTTCCTAATCATTTTGTTTTAATATATATAGAGAATCATTTTGCTTTAATATATATAGAGATTGGAAGTAATGTGAATACAATAAATATTTTCACACTTTGAAAGGAAAAAAAAAAAATCCTAATCATTTTACTTTAATATATATATAGAGATAAGAGATGTCTCTTACAGAATCTTTATGAATATATTGTATACAGAGATAGAGATATAATATATAATATATGTAATATTTTATAAATTAATAATATAAACGTGTTATGTAATGTGAATACAATAAATATTTTCACACTTTGAAAGGAAAAAAAAAAATTTCCTAATCATTTTACTTTATAGAGAGAGAGAGAGAGAGAGAGAGAGAGAGAGAGAGATAAGAGATGTCTTTTACAGAATCTTTATGAATATATTGTATACAGAGATAGAGATATAATATATAATATAATAATATATAATATAATATAATATATAATATATGCAATATTTTATAAATTAATAATATAGACATGTTATAAAGTAATGTGAATACAATAAATATTTTCACACTTTGGAAGGTAACTAAATAATAGTAATAAATTAAACATTACAGAAACTAAAACGGTAAATAATTTCAATCAATCTCAATATGAAATGGAAGGGGCAGAGGCAGTAACAAAACTTATAAGAGGCAAAAGTGAATCATATGAAATGGAAGGGGCAGAGGCAGTAACAGAACTTATAAAATGGAAGTAACAAATAAATATATTGCGAGTAGGGGATTTCCCATTAGCAAAATCATACAACCTCATATTCAATAAATCTAAGATTGAAAATTGTAGGGTAAATCCCACAAACTAGACCACATCATTTGCCCTAATAATAGAATGAAAAATAAAAAAATAATAAAGGGTGCTTATAAAACCCTGACTTGTTTTCATGTGTATAAATAAATAAATAAAACAAGAGTGTATCCAAAAAGTATAAGAGACATCTTCTGATGTAGAAGAGCTCCACACCCCCAATCCCCACCCCCAAACACACTTTGACTACCCTATTCCCTCCAATGTTGAAAAAAAAATATGGGAAGCAGCCACAGCATCCCACAAGCACCCTTTGAACTTCTCTCTGGCTCAGCAAGCTAATGCCTTCTCCAGTTTTTCTTTCTCTATCTCCACTTTTCTCTGCTCAGCATGCTGAGCAATGCCATTTGCCAGGGCTTGATATCGAAAATCCAAAGCCTGGGTGACGGTTTGGAACCTCACCGGATCAGAAGCTTGAAGAACTGGATTGAATTTAGGAAGACAAGGTCAACACATTTGATCACACACTATAGCAAAAACTAATTAACCCAAAAGGATGGAAATAGGCATACCTTTGATGGAATCAACGAAGAGAATAAACGGGTCCACCTCATCAATGGGTGACTGCAGCTCTTCGTCGTCACTGAAATCATCATCAGACGAGTCATCCTCGTCATCAATGGCGCGGAAAGCACTCGCCTGAAAACCACAAAGTTTCAGCATGTAGAGATGATGTTGATTTCATAAAGGCAATGAACAGAAAACAAGCAGGAACAAGATGCTTAGATGGGTATGATACAATTTGTCTCTTAATTCTGTTACCTGTGCTGCCAACTTTTGGAGCTTGCTGTCAGCTTCATCTCCATCCTCATCCTCATCCGCCATGTCTCTATCAGACTCGTCATCGTCACTTTGAAACCCATCTATTTCGATCTCATCTTCATCTTCATCTGCCTTTGCAGCTTCTGAAGATATACAAGGTAGAAATGATATCAAACATTAAGAGAATATACCATCTAACAAATGAAACAAATAGAAAAACCAGTATAGGAAAAACATGGTTACTTACCAGCAAGTTGATCCTTGTATGCAACAAGGAGATCAAGAATAGCCTTAAAAATGCCCTCTAAGGCTGCTGCTGGCATTTGATCAGCAGGAAGACTAAGCAATGATGTCAAGCCCAAGCAGCAAACCTTCTTCTCATGCTCCCTTCAATACCAACATGGCAAGAATTAGAAACCCATCAATTTTCTTAACGTTGTTTTTCTTATGCCTTTTACATCTCTCCACAAGAACTAACTACAAGACCAACATATCGCTACCTTTTAAAATTAGCCCGAGCTCCACTTTTTTTAGTTTGTTGTAGCATATGGAACCAAAGATTGAAGATCTCTGTAGCAACACCAAGCTTTTGCAGTATGCTCAGCGTAAATGAAGGGTTATAGTAAAGAGCATCAGCAATCTGTCAATAAGAAACAAACTCAGAAGTTATTTCACAGGAAAAGAAGGCCACAAACCATGTTTTATAGACTGGGAAAGGGAAACAAATGAATATGTATAAACAGAGAAATATTTAAGTATCTTACCACTTGGATCAGGAGGCACTTCAAGTATGGTGTTTCACTTCGATGCAGACGTTCTATTGAGATTCTGAGATATGGCTCAACCCAGTGATCGACCTGTCCTTTGCAGTTCTGGAATAGAACTTCAATGAGCTTAGGCGCAGACTCAATGTCACTATCTTCTAAGTCTTTGTCAGCCATGATCTGCAAAGAAAAGAAAGAATAAATAAATCCATATTAGAAATACACTTCACTTGCCAATCGTCAGCAGCAGATTAAAGAAAAGGGTACATTTCTAATAGAGGCATTAGCTTACAGTTGAGATCATGTTCCAAAGGCTTTGCTGGTAGTCTGGTTCCTTGCAAGTAAGGAAATGTTCAGTGCTCCTCGATATATAGTTGTCCAATGGAACCAATATGTCTGCAAATAAAATGAAGTGTTTAGGTGAAGTACTCTGGGACAATATTAGTAAAGTTACCACAAACCATCAAAATAAAAACAGGAGAAAAAATACAATAGCTCTTAACAAACTTACTTGGGAAATAATCAATAGCCCAGTCTGCAAGGGCCTCCATCATTAATGGCCAGAGACTCCACATGTTCATTGATATTTTTGGCGAGTAAAATGTCATATAAGAAACAATCTCCAGAACCTCTTCATAGACATCTACAGAAGTATAGATTGACTTTAATTCAAATCAAATTCAAATCAAAGACGGAGGAAATGCTCAAACATTTTGAGAGGAAATGCTCAAGGAAGCAAATTGTACCTTGTCCGTCAGACGTAAGCATCCTACGCATGATAGGGAAAAGTGTTGGCTCAATCTGTTCAAAAAGATGTGGAAGCCGACTCACTGACTCAAGGATTGTGCTTATGGCACGCAAACAACCAACTGCAGCTAAGGCACCAGGGTCATCAGCTTCATCATCAGCTTCCGCGGTGTTTATACATTTCCAAAATGCAGCAGCCTATAACAGCAACTATATTAGGGTACAAATGGCAGATCTGAATTGCATAAAACTGCACTATGAATTATCTCTCACCAGATTCTGGCATAATCCAAGAGCATAAGGAGCCATCTCCTCGCCAAACTTGTCAACAATCGTCTCGAGGGTCGAAACAAGATCTTCATTCTCAACTTCATTCATAAGTTTGAAGAACTCTGGAAGGGGAGAAATTTGGAGTAAAAGTGAGGGAGATAATCAAATATTTTTAGCCAAGAGAAAACAGGTGAATTGGGATCATCACTGACATACCATCAAGTAACTGAGGAAGTATAGGGCGGATTACATCCAAATCTGCATTAAAACAAACACACCTCAGTATGAAATTGATGGTATAAACTCTATGATGCAAAGTAAAGATATCAACAAAATTTACCTTCACATGCATCAATAAAGGAACGCAAGGCAAACACAGAATCAACCCGTACAGGAAGTTCAGGATCACGCATTCCAGCAACAACACTATGTAATGCTTTAACAAAATTACTAGCATCTGAGAATTCAATATGAGCATATTGCCCAGCAACCCACGCTGCCTAGTATTAAGAAGAAAAACAGAAAGAACAGGTTTAAGAAAAAAATTAGAAACATTTACAATCAATACAGCAAGGATCTAGTCCAACAGCTGAAGTCCAGCAGAAAATGTCATACCATATACATATAAGCATCTATATAAAGAATTTCACCAATAATCCAAATACATGTGTGTATGTGTGTGCGCGCGTACAGAAAACTGCTTGTGTGGAACTGAGAAAGACCTTTTAGTTATTTTGGGTTTTCTTGTGCTGATACCCCCAAAAGAGTTCAAATACTATACTAACAATGGACCATGTATGGGAAGGGAAAAGGCAAAGAAAACAAAGACTAAATAGTTCTTGCCATTTGCCAAATCAAATGAAACAAATTGCATTTTATGGATTCACCCATATATCCTGCCAACTAGAACACAATAAAAACCTCAATGAATTCAAATAAAAATTTATGGACAGGTTCAATTGACAAGGATCCAAATTGCAGAGCAATAGACACCTAAGAACACACACCTTGGCTCGAAGATGACCAACAGGACTGCTAAATTCTGGAAATACATGCTGTAAAAGCATCCGCTCAAGCTCAGACTTGTACGGCTCAGTTTGTTTCAGTTTATCACATAGTATCCCAATTGCAAGGAGGGCACCATCCTTTTGCCTGAAGGATTTGTATTCTGGTGCTGATGCATCATATCTAAATTTAATATAAAAACAGAACGTTAAATTTTTGCTGACATTTAAACATAAAAATGATTACTTGTATGTATCAGTGGGATTACTAGTACTCCAGTACACACCTCTTAAAGATGTCAACAATGAAGAAGACAAACTTTTGAAGGTTGTCTTTGCCACGCTTTCTTACCAACTCGCTAACAAAATCCATGGCAGCAGTTTTAGGATTATATAGATCCTCAATTATATCTGAAGTGAAGTATTTAGAGTAAGTTCAAAAACAAACAAGCAACACAAATGCAATTTAGGAACAAACATTAAAGCACCTGATTCTATTTACTTACCATAGCCTTTTCGGACATACTCATGAGGGTCTTCATTCCACAGATTTTGATCATTATCATTAAAGCACATCAGAGGGAACACAATTTCAAAAAGAAGAACATCGAGCTGTGGCTGAAGCAGATTGTACATGTTATTCTTTGAAATACTGCATGATCAACAATAAAAAGCATTTAGTAATAGAGTGCAGAAAAAAAAATGTTGAGGCAGCTAAGACAAAAAGAAAAGGCAGAAATAGAATCAACGACAATGCCCAAAGAGAGCTGATGAAGATAACAGGAAGAAGTTATCGATAAATTGTAGTAAATCAAATAACAGATCCAGATTGCAAATAAGGGAAAACTAAATTAAACAAACCTGTTAGATAAATATTGCAAGATAAGGTTTGCCACCCTATCAGGTAAATATCCACCGGTGCGGATAACATTCAAAAGATTAAGATGGCACTCGAGAACTTTTCCAGCATAGTTCTGAAACATCTGGGCGAAAGCTTTATTTTCCGGATTTTTAAGTTTCAGATCTCCAAACCTGTGGAAGATAGAAAATGTAAGGAACTAAGGATGAAAACCAGTTTGTATAGGCCAAAAAAGTCATTAGCACAGTTATAATCACCATGAAACTACCTGGTGTATAGACGGTATAAAATGTGCACCGTCCACTTTTTCACCTTCCACCATCCCCATGATTTTCTTAGCTCAGGATCAGCTGGCTGGCCTTCCAAGGGAACAGGCCTCTCCAGCATACTCAAGAAAAGAACCATCCATGAATTAAAAGTATTTGGATCAAACAACTGCCTTGGAATCTCCAACTGGAAAATAATCAAAGGCAAAATCCAATATTACTTGTTGTGAAAAAAGTACAGAACATGTATTTCATTGTGGCAACAACCAAGAAAAAGCAAAACACAATCAAAGTTTAACCACCTATGGTGTAGCTACTACCCCCCCAAAAAAACCGAACCCAAAAGGAACAGTTTCCCTTTTAAAAGTCTGATACAGAGAAAATTTTGAGCCTGAAGTTATTGCCTGGCTAAAAGATAATCACTTCATCTTCCATTCACATGCATGTCAAGAAAGGTCATCATTCATAGTAGGAGAATATGGCAAACATTTATAGAAGAGCATTTTCAGAACAAGAACATACATATATAGATGACCAGAATATTTTGCAGATAAGCCTGATCAGCTCTGCCACTTCAACTTTAGGATTCTCAATTTGAACAAGCCCCCTGAATATGTTCAGGAGATATGGGAAAGTTTCCTCAACAATGTGGTGCACAGGAGCTCTTTCTTCATCTGATTTGAACCTGGAATTGGAGTAGAGAACCTCAAATATATTTACACTAATATATTTACACTAATAACACAAATCATCACTCGCAAATAAAAAGACAATAAAATTTATAAATATGGCGCTCTTTAGAATCACAAACTCACTCATATTTTCTTGAGAGAATCCGAAGAACAAACAAAGCTCCATAAGCTTTTTGTTCCTGCATTGCCTGCAAATTTTCCTTTACCCAGGGTAAAAGGCTTGGCCACTGCTCAGGGTAGTCTGCATCAATGATAGTCTTCAGGCTTACCCCCAGCTGCACTCTGGTTACAGCACAAACAAGTTCAAGAGAAAGACAGCAGTGTCAACATTTTTACAGCTGAGTCGAGAATTGAAATATAAGTACTCATGCTCTTGTACAGAAATAAATGTTCATCAGATGTCCTAACTCCTAAGTTGTCTGTGGAGACTCGGCACCTAGCATACACAGTTAACCCCTAAAACACACACAGACTAATGTTTTACCCTCACACATGATGAATGTATAATAAGACCACATGGTTAAATTATCAGGAAGCTAGACTATGAAACAGTAAGAGTGAGATCCACAAATCAGTTCAAATAAAATGTAAATGATAATAATAATAATAATAATATTTTTTTTGGTAGAGATAATAATAATATTATTATTACTAATAATAATAAAGTTATAAACACATACCTCAACAGTGGAGGCACCTGAGCAACACAATTAAGGATATTTTGCCTAACCAATTCCTTGTCACCAGGCAGAATTTTTGATTGCTCCCCTACATTCACAGTGTATAGTTATAGATATATGCCTATAAATTCACAAAAAAAAATTAGTAAGCAATGAAAGTACTACCTGGATTGTGAGGAGACCAATTCTTGGTAGTGAAGTTCTTAAAATTAATACTTGCTGAATGCCGGACTTCGTTATCAGAGGACCCATCCAATATTATATGCAGCAACCTCACAATATGCTGTTGTGTGTACTGGACCTGAAACAAGAAAAAAAAAAATTAACTAAAGTCCAATCAATAATTCTTTAACAACTAAATGCATACTTTCCACTTATGTTTGATATTAAAAATAAATAAATAAACTAGAACAGCCATATCTGAACTACCAATGTAGTAAATATGCGCAATAAGTGAATTCCCATTTCCCACTACAATGTAGAATAAGCACAATAGTAAGTATTAGCTAAGAATGGAACTAAACATATAATCCACAAGGACATACAACAACAGTTTAATAGAGCAAACACATGTTTTAAGATTAGGAAGAAAAATTACAAAACAATTAAACAAATAATCTGATATTAGAAAATACCAAAATGCTTAATGTGATGTTAAGCCAATTAAAGCTTTAAACATAAGAATCTGAATTGTAGACACACTATCTAATCCAATTCAATGGGCTTAAGTTCCAAAGATTAATTCAAACAAAACAAACCAAAACTTAAAAATTCAAAGTCAAAAATTTTGATCTTTAGAATTACAATAATCCCGATAACCGTCCAGCATTCCAGACAACGGAATATATAATCTGGAAACAGATTTCCAACTAAAATCACAACTTCTTTTTTGAATTGCCCCGGGAACAAGACGGATGAATTAAATTTCCACACGCGTAGCAGGAAATCAGCATGCCAGGCAAACCCAATTCCATCAAATTACCATGATTCACACGCAAACCCAACAAAAACAAACGGATAAAGCTAAGCATCAATAAATTCAGTAACCACCTGATTGAGAATATGCTCAGCAGCCTTGATTTCATCAGGATTGTGACTGGCAGCACGTTTGAGAACCACAACCAGGCTTGGAACATCCATATTCAATTCAATCACGGTAAAAACCGAAGAATATCGATCAATCTCAAACTCTCCCCGCCCTGCCTGCTATGAATAGCCTATAGAGATAGAGAGAGAGAAAAATGCTGGCAAATGCTGAGAGAGAGGTGGAGACAACAGCGAAGCGTGTGTCTATATTTATAGATATATGATTAGGGTTTAGGGAGAGAGTATATGCT